CCATTCAAATATTACTAGGCATGCAAAGAAGCACAGATATATATATAACCAATAATTAGAAGAAAATTAATTGATCAATCTATCTAAACTGGAAATGGTAGAATGAATAGACAGATATAGCATTTTTTCAAGAAACAAAAAGATTAAACTGGTTAGAGATGTAGAACATATAAAGAGACCCAAAATTAACCTGAAGAGGTGAAAACTACATCTGAGATAAAAAGTATATATACATACACTAGTTTTAAGTGCTGAAAGAATAAAAAAGATTAGTGAGCTCATGTATATGAAAAATTATCAAAATATATTTTTATAGTACATCTTTCTATGGAAAAGAGAACTAGAATTAGCTTTAAAATAATATATACCCAATGTTAATTGTGCTCACCTTTGAGGGGCAGCATTTTTTAGTTGTAAAGGGGGATAATTGTCAGTTCTTAATACTTAGAATGTCTTGCAACAAGTATAAACACACAATTATCTTAATAATTAACATGTGTAAATAAGCCTAAAAACAGAAACAAGAGATGTGTTTTAACCTGAAAAAGTTACTGCTAAATGATGTAATAGACAAAGTTTGAAATATGAACAGCATAATATAATAAAAGTCTATTTCTCTATGTGGCTTAGTAGACATTCTGTGCTAACAGGTGACCTGGGGCCCTGCTGCTTGTTTCTTGTAGGTCAACTCTACAAAAAAAAGACTTCCATGTTTACTGATTAATGCAAGAAAAAACTTAGATGGTGGGAAACTGGATGTCAAATGTTCTAACCTGGAAATGACAAACGTTGCTTCTGCTCACAGACCAATGGCAAGGGCAAGCCACAGGAGCCTTTTTAACTACAAATGAACTTGGTACATAGTTTCCCCATGGGCCCAGGAAGGAAAGAAAGACAAGATGTGGAGGAGCATTTGCAGTTTCCCCCATAAATTGTTATAAATAAGTGCTTAATAGAATGTTGATGTTAGAATTTTTGTGACAACCACTTTCTTTATTTCCTGGTAGAGTTGCTGAGGAGGCCAAATTTCCTTCTGATTCTCCAAATTTTTTGAGATCATACTATGTGACAGTTGTTTACAAACACAGACTCATGCCCACTTTTCAAAAGGATTTTGTAAAATATCAGGGAAGTTTGACCTTCTGCACATTGTATTAGCTTTCTACATTGACCTAAGCGATAACTTATAAAATCTGAATAGGGTAAGAATTTTTCTTCTTTATTTTGGTGCCTGGACAAAATCTATGAGTTTCTGCCACTTTCAACATGATGAACGATTATTGTGGGTGCCATTAGGCGTAAGGAAAAACTAGGATTTCGTCCTGAGCCAGTAGTTATACAAGAGGTTGTAGGTCACTGAATTATTTTTAAGCTTGCTGACCAAAGATGGCATGCTTGTCAATAAACTATATTTCACTCCTGGAAAATTTCCAGAGATTTTAGGAAATTAATCCTCACTAGATGTTTCCCAAGCAGTGATTTCCATGTTCTTGGATCCTACTTCAACTATCACTTATGAGGGAGGTTTGGTCATTAACCACATAAGTAAGCTCACATTTGTATATGCTCAGTGGCCAGTCTGAAAGAAGAAAGAAATAAAGAAAAGAAATGAAGGAAGGAAGGAAGGAAGGAAGGAAGGAAGGGAGGGAGGGAGGGAGGGAGGGAGGGAGGGAGGGAGGGAGAGAGGGAGGGAGAGAGGGAAAAGGGATGGAGGAAGGACGGAAGGTCATTAAAATTCTAATGCAAATATCAAAGTGGTTTAAAAACCTGGTCTCCAACTTCACTTTTATATCTCCAAAATTAGCAAATCCTATGATCTCTCAGTCTATATTCACCAGGACTTAGGGGAAACACTCTGAGAATGTGGTGGAAATGCCCAGTGGGCCATGTTTAAATTTTAATGTTAAAGTTACTTTCTTAAGCTTTTATTTAGTTTTAGAGAGAGGGGAAGGGAGGGAGAAAGAGAAACATCAGTGTGTGGTTGCCCCTTGCACGCACCCAACTGGGGACCTGGCCCGCAACCCAGGCATGTGCCCTGACTAGGAATTGAAACCTCTGACACTTTGGTTCGCAGGCTGGCACTCAATCCACTGAACCACACCAGCCAGGGCTCAATATTAAAGTTACTTTTTATGTGGAACAAGATGTTGCTATCAAAAGGGTACATGGTGAGGGATGGAATCATTAGAGAGTTGGAATGCTCTCAGTCAGAAGGAGGGCAGGTGATTTTTGTCTTGTTTTTTCCACTGGGTGCAGCTTTCTGAGGAAGATTAAAGAGTCAGCCATCAGGTCAGCTTCCAGTTTGGACAAGAGTGCACACTGGGGAAGATCTAGGGGAAGGGCACTATAATGCAGAGAGAGCTAGAGTGAGACAAAAATGCCAGTCCCTAGTCAGAGTGAGCTTGCAAGGAACCCTGGGGCCTAGGGCGGACATCCCTAGTTAAATGAAGCCCACATACAATGGCCAAATTGTGTTTCTTCTTTCAACTTTCCTTCCTTAAACCTGCCTTAAGTTCCTTGGCTACAATATCCTTCTTTTTATATCCTAAGGGGCATTAATGAATAATGAGAAGGGAAATAAATGAGGAGACTGAAGGTCTGACTCAGGCTAGGAAAAGTGAAACAGAATTGACTGTAGGTGAATTCAGAGAATAGCTCTAGTTTCAGTTCTGTCACATACTAGAAATGTCAAGTCCAGGACAAGCGTAAGCTCTTTGGGCTTGAGGATCTTTGTATGTTATTTTGCTGTGATGAATCTTGCCTTTCTAGGGCTGTTGGAATGTGTTGAAGTCTATAAAACACATGGCACAAGTGTCTGGCGTGTTCTAAAACTTTAATGGGTAAGATATTTTACTATGGTTGTGTTAATCTCCAATCCCACCACCCTCGTGTGTGTGTGTGTGTGTGTGTGTGTGTGTGTGTTTTCTAAATCTACGATTTTTTAGAAAACATAAGTACTATAGGACATAGTATATCAAATCAAACCAAAATGTTCCTCAGCAAGTAAAACTTTGTAACATCTTCCCGTTGGAGGTTAAGTTCTTTAATTTGGGTGTGGGAATGTCCTCCCCAGGTGCACTGAAATCAAATTTCCCAGAAATTCGTGTCAAGGATCAGCTCCTCACTTCCCTCCCAGCTGCCCTGTATAAAGGATCAGAATATTTCAGCACCAAATATGTCAGTTTGGCATATTGTTTATTTTGAATTAAAAGTACCTGAGAAACAGCCTGTGCAGGAGGGACACTCTGACCCTCCTTTGCCTCCCTGAAAGCAGGATATAAACCTCCCATGTGAGAGTTGCCCTCCCTATGCCAGGATAGAAGGCATCCTTATCAGTGAAGAATGGGGATTTAGAGCCTAGAAGGATGTATAAACAAACCTTGTTACTTCACCAATTTACCACCTTAAACCTAAACCCCTCTACCTTACGAATTCTTTGCAAATGTATTATTTGTCTAAAATGTATGTTTCCCACTTTAGTCACTTCTTTTGTCTCTCATCTGTGTTGCTCCTATCCCTACCTCCATAATTAAATTAGTTTCTCTCCTACTAATTTTTATTATGGTGATTCATAACCAAGATACTAGGTTAGTATTTAAAATTATTTTTTTCTCCTCTGTATCCTCCATTTTAACACCCCTCCCCTTTTCCTTCATCTGATCCCTACCAAAAATTTAGCCTTTGTTAAATGTTTGCCAAATTACACTCAATAAAGCTGACTTAAATTTTTCTGGGAATAAAGAGGGCACTGACTCCCCTCTGCCATGGCACAGCGCCAGCCTAGTGGTTTAAGGGTGTTTAATCTCAAGGGAGTATCAGTGTTATTTCTCAGAAATTCCTTACAGATGAAGCACATAAATGAAACTATTACTTTGTGCACTGAATCCCATTGCACTGGCACAAGAAGGCAAGACATCTTCCATTTCAATAATAGGTAAAAATTTGTGTCTGATTTATTTGGGATCCAAAAGTAAGAGTTAATAGCAGATCTGCACTCCAGGCTTTGGGTTTTAAGCCTGAGAGACACCGTCCATGTCTGCTCCCTGCTCACAATGCCCTCAGCCAGTTTAATGTAAAATCCCTTCCCAATGAAGAACTTGGAAGTTTCCCAAAGCCCCACACTAACATGCCTAACCGTATTAACACAGTCTCATGTGAACTGCCCACCTACTTACTCACACCTTTTTACTTCTCCTTTGGATACTAGAAGATCACACCATGCTCTTAAAGGATTATTGCCTCTCTATGTTGTAATTCAATGAGCAAGTCCTAATTCCTTAAATCCTAGCATTCCCAGTACTGGTGCAGTGCTTTCCAAAAGGCAGGTGTTCAATGAAGTTTTCAGGGATTAATGAGCCAAAGTGCATGAAGTCTAGTTTATTAAGATTTGTTTCTTGTACACTCTTAAAAGAGCTTGGCAAATACATGTACGTATCACTTAATTACACACAAAAAGAACTAAACAAGGTGAGAAACCCAAGATTTGAATATCAATTAGTTTTTTTGCTATTTTTCTCTATTAATCCAAATTTTCTTAAAGCTCATTTCTTTCACATTTACAGGGACATGGCTATAGCAATGCCATGTGATTTTCTTTCCAGATGACAACATAAGATGAATGGTTTCACATTTTCTTTCCCAAAACAACCAAGCTCTTACTACAAAAGCTCCTTACAGCATTACAGAGGTGACCGATGTCGTTCAAAAACTCAGATATTTTGAAGCTAATTAAATCTATATTAATACATAAGTTACCACACAAAGGAACAGATTTTCAAGTTGCACATATCAAAGAGAAACACAGGCATATACTGAATATGTAAGTTACCCACAAAAAAAAAACAGATTTTCAAGTTACACACATCAAAGAGAAACACAGGCATATACTGCGTTCCTTTCAGCACCATCGCTGACCTAAATTCTATGAACTGCCTCTTAAAAAAAATGCATGAGGAAACTACCCTGACCTGCAGGTGTGGGAGGAGCTACCAGGCTTGGCCTTAGAACTGGCAGTGGCCACGATAATCAATAGCTGCGATACCAACTCTGGCCCGAAATATCTCTTCTTCTTCCTCAAACGCTTCCTCATACTGAGATGTGAAAAATCTTGGGTCAGTCCCATAAACCTTGGCCAGAAACCTTAGGACTTGCATCTTGGTGGTTTCAGCGTGGGCTCTTGGGCCCCACAGGAATTCAAATTGTGGAGCATCACTGTTGGTCACCTGCTGGTAAAACAGGTATCCCTCCTCCACAAAATATTTGGTGATGAGACTTCTGATATCTCCAAAGATGTAGTGCTTCTTCCCAGGCTGTAACCCCATCACACTCAGAATTTCCCAGATTTCCATCTCAGTGGCATGGTTGCCCTTCATGAAGATGGCCCCCAGGAGAAGTATCAGGATGCCGGTCTTGGGCACGCCCTTTACACCATGCCACATCCCATCATAGGTGAGGCCCAATTTGATGAGAATGGCATAACGGTGCAGGACGGGATCCACTTCCCTCACATCAAGGCCAAAGATTACCTCCATGCGCGTAGAGGCTCTCAGTAAGATGTCAGTGAAGTGGTCTTGGTACTCTTTGCTGACAATCTTCAACATTTCTGCCTGGGTTATTGGCTCTTTCACTTCATACTTGTGCAGCAGGAAATCCACCAACCAAGCCGCCTTTTCATCTAAAGCATCTAGGGGCACATTCTTGGGATCAGGAACTGCCTCTGAGCTGCTACCCTTCCCCTCTTGGCTATTGGATCCCTCACCCGATTTGCTTGATGGGGTGGCTGTGGTGACAACAGAGGAGGTGAAGACACTCTGAGGACTCTCAGGAGAACTGAGGACACCAGCATCAGGAGCCTCCTTCAAACTGCCAGGCATTGGAGGGTGGGAGGAGAGACAGGCCTTCTCCGCAGCCGCGGACGCCTCTGCACCCTCCAGGCCTTGGGTCCTACTACAGGTCTGAAGGGGCTGATCAAGTGAGCACTGTGGATTCTTCTGACGAAAAGCCATGAGGACGCCTGTAAGTGACAGTAATGAAGAGTGTGAACAGGAAGGCAACGGGGAAATCACTGCCTAAGGGGAAGAAGGAAGATGTGAGTGGCCTCAGCTGCTAAACTCAACGGTGGTGGCTCTAATAAAAGCCGCCTGCGATGGACCTCTCCAGACAGCAGTGCTACACCTGACCTCCTGGTTGCTGTGTCCCCCTAGGACAAGAAGGGAAAATGCTCAATTCTCCTCAAGGTGCAGCTGGCCAAGCCAGGCTGAGAATTCTCAGGGATGACAGCAGGCAGGTTAGGCAGGTGTGGCTGTGCCCTGTAGAGCCATTTGTGTTCTGAGGAGGGCGGCCCCTGCAGTGCTCACTCAGGTTCACTACCGGACCATTCCATAGGGTCTGTGACATCTTCCTCATGCTAAATAAGGCTGTCCCCCTAACACCAAGTCACACCTCCTTTCGGTCATTTCTAGACCAAAACTGCCAGTGTATGAAGTGAGGTATTGAGACCAATACTCGTCCACACAAACCAACAAAAGGAAAGCACAGTCAGTGTTAGAGAACAGAGTGATGGCTGCTTGAGGAGAGGCAGGTTGGGGGACAGGGTGAAAAGGGAATGGGATTGAGAAGTACAGATTGGTAGTTATAAAATCGTGATGGGCATGTACAGTGTAGCACAGGGGATGTAGTCAGCCATACTGGAATAACTACGTATGGTGCCAGGTGGGTACCGCAAAACCGGGGGGACACTTTGTAACGTACAATATATGACTGCCCAAGCACTATGCAGTACACCTGAAACTAATACAAAATAATACTGAATGTAAACTGTAATTGAAATCAATAAAATAAATAAATAAGTAAAAACAGAAGGATGCTGGAGGATTCGGAGTGAGGAGTGAGAGCAATGTGACGATGGAAACAGAGATTACAATGATGCTGCCCCAGCCGGGGGATGCCAGTAGCCTTTGGAAGCTGGAAGTGACAAGGAACAGATTCTGCCCTGGAGCCTCCAGAAGGAAGCAGCCCTGCAGACATCTTGATTTGAGCCAAGCAGACTCATTGTGGACTTCTGTTTTGTAAGCCACTACGTTTGTGGGAGTCTGTTACAGCAGCAATAGGAAACTAATAACTGGTCATTCTTTCTTGCTAATGTTAAAAATTCTTTCGAGAAACTAAAGTCTTGACTCTATGCAGACAAAAAAAGTAAACACAAGCTAGAGATTTTTAACTCATGAGAAAAACAGGCAGATGTTTTCACTGGTTCAAAAAGAGAAATCATGCAGCACAAATGTATTCAGAATAAGGACTGTTAAAATGAGGTTCAAATGGAGCCCCAACTTTAGTTTTTCACTGAGAGAGTAAGGAAAGTCATTACAGCTTCTGCCAGATAGGACTGAGTTTGCATGTCTGACACTTTGCATGCAGGGTGCTGGTGGTGATGAAAAATCTGCCAGAGGGCTCAGGCCTGAGCCGGTGTGTAGGGAGAGCTCAGCGGAGGATGCGGTCCTGCTGAAGCTGGTCCCGAGGGCCAGCCTCACAGTAGCCAAGAATTTCACCAGGGAGTGCTCATGGGCCAGACCTGGTACACGGCAAGTGGCCCACTGAATGGCAAAGAAACTTCCCAGAGAATGAGAATCCTGGGCCTCCTCCATGCTGATCTGGCAGTTGCACATTCACCCAAATATAAGGAACCAAAAATGAGCTAAAACGGTGAGGAAAGCGCTTAAGCTTTGGAACACTGTGTAGTGTTCTGCAACTTGCTTTTCTCACTTAACAATCTACTGAGGGCATCTGTCACTGTCACTGGCTACAGATCTATCTCTTAGGAGCTGCAAGGTACTCCACTGCACAGGTGCCCTATAATTTAATTTACCATTTGCTTACTGATGGACGATTAGATCATTTGAAAGTTTTCACTACGACCAAAACATACAGTGCCATAGGTACATTATGCTTCAATACAAGAGTTGCAATATGCATTCTCTTATTTAGCAACAATGGATAGGCATAGAGAAAACTCTGGAAAGAGGTACACCAGAATATTGACTCTGGTGGTCTTTGGAGGTGGGGGGTTTTGGAGAATGTTCTCTTTCTATGTTATTCATAGCTGCGTGGTTCAAAGCGTTTCTTACAAGCATGTATTGTTTTTTATAACCAGGAAATACAAAAAATAGTTTGATATTGAAAACAAGTACGACTTTGTTAAAATTGTAAACTGCAAAAAACAAAAACAAAACCTACTAGCCACCACTGTCTGAAACCTCCCAGGGATGACTACACGGGCAGGGTAGGTCCCATGGGGTCCCAACTTTACTCAAGGGGATGGTCAGCTCTTTGCTCACACAAGCTCTACACCTTCAAGCTGGACGGTATGTGAGACTCTTCCCCTCGGCTAACCTGATGTCACTCCCTCACACTCAACAGTTCCGTCCTTGTGGCTTCTCTGAATTCAGGGGGCGTCACATTGACAGTTCCCCCAAGTGTCACACCAGAACAGGGATCGGTTGAGAACATTCTGTTCTCAAGGGGGTGCCCCCAGCAGCCTCCTTTTGTGTTCTTCCCACGACTAATGATAGGCACCGAGATCAGACATCACTTCCACTGAACAGTCATCTTCAGCCATAGTTCAAGGAGCGGGCAGTGACAGTGCTATCTCTGCTTCACAGCTCAGCCCGGGGCCTCCCACGGATGACAGCGGGGCTCAGCAGAATTCTTTTGGCTCCTGACTTAGGCGACAGGTGTTTACTTACCCCTCACTCAAGGTCTTGACTTTGGCTACTGCTCAAACCTCCGTCTCCACTTTCAGACACATAAAGCCACCCCTGCCAAGAAAAAATAAAATAAAATAAAAAAGTCTATTCTCATTGAAACAGCTGAGAAGAAAGGCATGAGATGGAGCTGCCTTGCGCTCACCACCTGGAAGCCTGGCATGGCCTGGGACTTCTCATTCTGACCGGAGTTTGCCCATCACAGGAAGGCCTCACTTCTCAGTGAACATCATGGGGCAGTGACTGGTTGTCTCGTAGGACTACCCTAGCTCGGGACTCCCATGGGTTCCCCGGGACCCCGAGAACACCCTTTTACGTGGTGAATTTCCCGTTCATACGTAACTCAATGACATCTGCTAGGGCGAAGGCCTCCTTCTGCTGAATAGTCTATTTAGAACAAATTCTTCACTTCCTGGGACTCAGAACAGCAAGGGAGGGGTGGCCTCGGGCTGCCATCCCTTCCCTGGGCCATTCCGGGCTGACAGCAGGGGAAAACGCCCTCTGGGGCGGGCCCTGCGCCATCGCTCGGTTGGTCCCACAGTCCTCGCAGGCGCTTTCCAAATTGATACAGGGTGATGCGTGCCCTGCTGTGCTCCACTGCCTTAGGCTCCACCTTCCAATCGAGGCCCTGGCTCTCTCAGACCCCCAAAGAGTAGTGAGCAGACACCTCATGCACACGACTACCAGGGCTGAAAAGAGCGCCTAGACGCTGCACCACACCCGCCCCCAAGGGGTTGGCGGACCCGTAAGAATGCCCCGCGGTCCCCCCGCACCCCCAACCACGACTCGCGCAGGGCCTGAGACTCGCTGCTTCGTCGACCTGACACCGCCAACCTCAGCCCGAGGCCTCACATCCCTCAGACTCCGGAGGCCAAGATCAGTCGGCCATACTTCCAGCACCCGGGCTAGGGGCCTCCCACGGTTGAGGAAGGGGTCCAGTCTCAGGGAGGCCGCCACTATGCCCAGAGGGTCATCCCCTAACTCTGTGTCCTCGCTCAAAGGGCCTTTTCATGACGACTGGTGGTCCTAGACTAGTACCACCGCCATCAATGCCCCACCGCCACCATTTCACCACCGCACACTCCCACCCCAGCCCCCCACTCCCTACCACTGTCGCATGACAACTCCCACACAGACTCCCCCGCACCGCGCGCCCGCAGAAAGCCCGTCCCCTCAGCTACAAGACACGGAGGAGACGTGGGGTACGTCGGCTCAGAACCCTGAAAGGGTCTTCCCAAGGAGGGGTTCGGGCCTCGTATCTCGTGGGGCTTCCTCTTTTCTTCGGGGGTGCTACCCTTAGCCCTTCTTTAAAGCCTCACCTGGCACTCGGGGACCACTGGTTCCTTTCCCTCAGCGGTGGAGAATATGGCGCGCCTCGAATCGAAGCCGCCTCAGCCGCCGCAGAACGAAAGAGGAAGTCACGGGGCGGGACATCCTCTTATCCCTGCCAGAGGCTTCTGGGGTCAACCGCAGGCGCGGGCTTTGCACACCCCCTTCCCCACTTTCAGGTCAATTTCACGGGGGAGGAGCTGGTTGCTGGTCCCGGCTCACAGTCCCCATTCTGCCATCTCTCAGACCCTGGAATTAGTCCCTCTGTGAGCCAGTGTCATTCCCTTCATGCCAAGGCCCTCAAGTCCCTGGGTACCCTGAAGGGGACCTGCGGGGGTGCCTTAGACTAGAGCCCTGCCTGGGCTCTTAGGGCTGAAACAGGCCCTGGCTCATCTCTGTGCGACTCTTCTTTATTCTCTGGTGGTGTTCTCTGTCCTCACTCATGGGGCTTCTCTCTTTTTGGCTCCTTTCTCATGGCTTAAGGCTTCCTGGGAAATGCAACATCCCAGCAAACTATGGATGAGTTTACTTATTGCAGGCAAGCCTTGCAGAGCTTGGAGTAAGTCGTGGCCTACACTTAATGACAAACGATGAAGTCAGAGCACAAGGTGGGCAGGGTCCACGACAGCTCGTGGGCTGTCCGAGAAAAATCATAAGATCTTTTCCTTTTCTCCAAAAGTCATGCTTAGACCATGTAAATTCTTTTTAAAAAATTTGCTTTTTACTGGGAGCGACTGAGGTCATTTTGCAAGTTGCTTTCTAAAGAGTATTAGACATTCCATGTGTAGAAATTATATAGGCATGATAAATATTTTATCTCTCTTCATTTTTTCATAGTTCTCATTAATTATTTTCTATCTATTGCTTTGGCTATGTTTTCCAGTTCAGTTTTGAATAGTATAGTGGGCTAGGCTCAA